TTTGGTGAAATAAGACCTTTACAAGTTAATATCAAACTTTGTCTCTGGTTGTGGGTACTCTGTTTTTTTTTCACTTCTGTGTTGGATTATTTGCTGTTCTCACCACTTAAGCTGTGCTGGAACTAATTTGTTGTCCTCTGCTTACTTCTAAAGTGGGGCAAATTCCTGTGGGGACCAATACTTGAGTTCTGTGGTTGAGCTAAGTTGCTGCTTTGCTGTTGATTCCCTGGGGAAGGTTTTTTGTGCAGCTCAGCTTTTAATGGTTGACTTTATAGGAGTTCTGGGTTTAGTGAAACCCAGTGCACCTGGGTTGTGTAGAAACACTGGTCTGGGCCTCTTTTCATCAAACTGCACCCCGTGCAATCCTATATTCCTGAGCAATCTCCTCCGAGGGGTCTTGCACTGATTGGGCAGCAGATTGGCTATCCTTGCAGTGTCCCAGTGTTCTCCCAGTGGGCCCATCTCCCCCCACCGCCCATGCTGCAAACACTTCCCATGGGACAGGCTATACGCCGGTCCGTTGTGATGACTCACCAGCTTCTGAGTGGCTCCTGTTTTTCAGTTCTGGCTCCTGGCTCCTATGTGAGCCCATGGGAGCCACCAAGGCCCTTTTCTCCCCTGCTGCCTCCAAGCAACTCCATCCAAAGGGCATAGCTACAGCTTTTGCTGGCTCCTGCTCCGTGTGCTCAGCAGTTCCAGTGGCAGGGGCTCAAAACGGTTGGAGCGGTTTTTTCTTTCTCTCATCGTGGCTTCTACTGCCTTCATGCTCCGTAGGTCTCTCCTCCTCTTCCCCTGAGCTCTAGCAGCCCCAGCTTGGCTGTTCTTGCTTTTTTATAGTTGTATTGGTTGATTTGTGGGAGAGAGTGACACTGGGTACTGTCTATTCTGCCATCTTGACCAGAAGATTTTTGCTTCATATTTTGGAGCTGAGTTTTTAGGATATTTTATGTCCTCCTAATGTATTGACCATTTTATCATAATGAAATTTCCCTCTTCTTTTCTGGTAATACTTCTTAGTTCAAAATCACTTTATCTGATGTGAATATAGCCACTCCAGCATTCTTATGCTTACTGTTTGCACAATATTCCTTTTTCTATTCATTTACTTTCTCCCGCTCTCTTTCTTTTTTCTTTTTTCTTTTTTTTTTTATCTTTTTGCCATGTCCGGCAACGGATCACAACCCTCAGTGTCGCCCCCGTACCGGACCGGACCGGCAACGGGATCGCAACACTCGGCGCTGCCCCCGCGCCTTGCTCAGCCAGTGAGCGGGAACCGGTCTGTATGTGGGATCNACATGGAGGTGATGTTTTGGGCCTGCTCCTTACCTAGTTGGTGGTGGTAATGGTGGTGTGCCTGGTTGTGGGAGGGGGTCCAGTCTCTGGCTCCATACCTCAGGCCCCTGGGTGGGCCCCCTGGCACTGGTGGTGTGCCTGGTTGTCCCCCCTTTCTGGCTTGGTAGCCCAGGGGACTTCTGGTCCTTCTAGATGTTATAGGTGTT